TGAAGGCGTACGACTGCAGCAGCAGCAGCAGATTCAGCAGCAGCAGCAGCAGCAGCAGCGGCTGCCTGGACGTCTGGACTGCCCACCCATCAGCTGTAATGGACCTGCAGCAAATCTGCTGCGGCAGCAGCAGCAGCAGCAGCAGCAGGGACTGGATAGTGGCTTCAGGCGACTCAGACGGGGGGGTTTACATTTGGGCCCTAGACCCTAAAGCTCTCCTCAGGGGGCCCCAGGGGCCCCTCCTAAACCCTCAGGGGCCCCTCCTAAACCCTCAGGGGCCCCTCCTAAACCCTCAGGGGCCCCCGCTAAACCCTCAGGGGGCCCCTCTAAACCCTTAGGGGCCCCTTCTTGGCCATCTAGTGCCCCCGCTAAACCCTCAGGGGCCCCTTTTAAGCCCTTCGGGACCCCTGGCAAACCCTTGGGGGCCCCGAACCCTTGGGGGCCCCTGCTAAACCCTCAGGGGCCCCCGGGGGCCCCTGGGAAGCAACTGCGCACAGGGGCCCCCTTTAGAAAGTTGGGGCTGCTGCTGCTGGCTGATTCCATGGCTAGCTGAAGTGGCTAGTGCGGCAGCTAGCTAGCTAGCTAGCTGGCTGTCTAGCTAGCTAGCTAGCTGGCTAGCTAGCTGCTTAGCTAGCTAGTTAGTTAGCTAGCTAGCTAGCTAGCTGCCCAGCTAGCCAGTAGCTGCTGGGCTTGCTGATACAATTAAGACAGTGATGAAGTGCATGTGCAGAAGTTCTATAGCTAGCTAGCGGGTCAGCTAGCTAGCGATTTAGCTAGCTAGGGGGCCAGTTAGCTGTAGACCTCGCTAGCTAGAAAGCCAGCTAGCTAGCCAGCTGGCTAGCCAGCTAGTTAGCCAGCTTGGTAGCTGATCAGCCAGCAAGAGAGCCACTTCGGCAGCCTGACAGCTAGCTAGCTAGCTAGCCAGCTAGCCAGCCAGCTAGCCAGCCAGCTAGCTAGCCGATGGACTGGCGAGAGGGCCACATAGGCAACCTAGCGGCTATCTGGCCAGCTAGCTAGCTAGCTAGCTAGCTGGCTAGCTGGCTGGCTAGCTAGTTGGCTAGCTAGCTGGATGGCTCGCTGGGTAGCTAGCTGGATAGCTCCAGCTAGCTAGCTAGCTGGCTAGCTGGCTTTTAGAGAGACAGGGAGCCTAGGGCTTCTGGGTCCAAGTCCGGGTGGCGAGACAAGAAGTCCTTCAAAACCGCCCTGCAGCAGCCGCAGCCCCAAACCCTAAACCCTAGAACCTTCGACCCAAACGCTAAACCCTAAAACCTTCGCCTCAAACCCTAAAACCCTGGTCCCAAACCCTAAGCCCTGTCTTTTCTGTCCCCAAACCCTAAACCCTGTCTTTTTTGGCCCCAAACCCTAAACCCTAGAACCTTGGCCCCAAACCCTAAACTCTTGAACTTTGGCCGCAAACTTTGAAATCTGGAACCGTGGCCCCAAACCCTAAACCCTAGCAGTTGGACCCAAACCCTAAACCCCAGAACTGCAAGCAAAACGCGAACTGGGGTTTAGGGTGTAGCCTCACAAGTAATCCCCGCTGCTTAAAATGGCTGGGGGGCCCCCAGCAGCCATAGCATTGAACAGCAGCAACCTGAGCAGCCGCAGCAAGAGCAGCAGCAAGAACAGCAGCAGCAACAACGTTGGGAGCAAGGCAAAAAAGAGCAGCAGCACAAGCCGCTGCATTGGCAGCAGCAGCAGCAGCAGCGACTGCCCTTTGCTCGCTAGGCGTTGCAGCTCAGCCTCAGGGGGGCTAGGGTTTAGGGTTTAGGGTTTAGGGTTTAGAGCGCTACCCGCAAGGTGGAGAGAGACGAGGAGCTAGCGGCAGCAGCAACCGCCAAGCCAGTTCAAATAAAGCAGCGAATTCTTTTGCTGCAGCAGCAGCCAACTGCTGTGCTGCTGCAGCATCCGCTGCATCCGCTGCATCCGCTGCATCGGCTGCTGCTGCTGCTGCTGCTGCTGGTGTCCTGCAGCTAAATGCAGCAGCATCAAGAACTGCACACAGATCTGCTGCGCTGCCCTCAGCAGCAGCGAGGAACTGCTCGGCTTCTTCTGCTGTTTTTGCTGCTGCTGCAGCCGTGTCAGTTGCTGCAGCTGCTTCGGCAGCAGCTGGCGGCGCATCCATTGTTGCTGCTGGTGCTTCTTCTGGTGCTTCTGCTGCTGCTTCTGTAGCTGTCGACCCGGTGGGGGCCTCTGGCTCAGCTTGTGCTGCTGCTGCTGGTGCTGCTGCTTCTGTGCCATCAGCACGCAGCAAGTCCTGCTGCAGCTGCAGCAGCAGCAACCGAACGGTGTCGCTTTCCCGTAGTCCACTCTGCATACAGCAGCAGCAGCAGCAGCAGAAACTGCAGAAAGAAAAGCAACGATAGTGGCTGCCGAAGTGGAAAGTGCGGCACAAACAGCAGCAGCAACAGCAGCAGCAACACCAGCAGCAACAGATTGAGTAAGGCAAGTCACCTGCTTCAGCGCTGAGCAAAAAAATGCCACATCTCGAAGAGGCAGCAGCATTTTGCACCTGCTGCTGCTGCTGCTCCCGCTGTTGCTGCTGTCGCTGCTGTTGCTGCTGCTGCTGTGGCTCTGTAAAGCTGCTGCGCTCTTGAGGGCCGCAGCAATCCTGCTAAAGAGGCGACGGGCCAAAGACAGTGGCACTGCAGCAGCACAATGCAGCAGCAGCAGCAGCAGCAGCAGCAGCAGCCGATCTCAGATTGGGCCCTGCAGCATCACCGTAACAGCAGCAGCTGCAGCAGCAGAAGCAGCAGCAGCAGCATACTCTCATATTCCGTAGCAGCAAAAAGTCCTCCACTAATCCGCAGCAGCAGACGAGGGGCCAGCAAAGCGGGATGCGCCCAATTCTGCAGCAAACCACACCGGACCCTAAACCCTAAACCCTAAACCCTAAACCCTAGGCCCTTAGGCTCAACTTCAAGAACAGCAACAGCAGCGGCAGTTGCCTCTATCCCAGCAGCAGCAGCAGCAGCAGCGGCAGCAGCAACAGTGTACCAGGAGGCTCGGGCTTGCATCCCGCAGCGTCTGCTGCACCAGCTGCTCCATTGCTGATGCTTGCTGCTGCTCTTGCTGCTGCTGCTGCTCCTGCAGCTGCTGCTGCTGCAGCAGCGGCTCTGCTGCAGCAGCCAAGTGCTTAGCTAGCTGCTGCTGCAACGCGAACCGCTGGTGCAGCAGCAGCACAAAAGATGGGAGCCACGGAGTCAGTGTGTGAGCGTCCAAAGCCAGCAACCTGCACATAAACCCTAAACCCTAAACCCTAAACTCTAAACCCTGAACCCTAAACCCTAAACCCTGAAGAGTAAACCCTACACGCTTGTTATCATTGCTAAAGCTTAAATGCATGCCAAGAAAAGCCAGCACCTACACGGCAGGTCCCAATATACATGCCCTAGCGAATAGTAAACCCTAAACCCTAAACCCTAAACCCTAAACCCTAAACCCTCACCGCTGGGCTACCGCATTGATCGTCTCGTGGCCAAATGACCCGCGGAGCGTTCGCCTGTTTGCTGCTGCTGCAGCAATAGCTGCTAGAGAAGGAGCAGAAGCCACAGGGGCAGCCTGCAGAAACACTCGTAAACCCTAAACCCTAAACCCTAAACACTAAACGCTAAACCCTAAACCCTATATCCAAAAAGCAAGGCTCCAACAAGCAGACTGCTGGGTATAGAATCATGCCTGGCGCAGCTGCAGAGTCAGCAACGCCTGCTGCTACTGCTGCTGCTTGTGCTGCTGTCTTGTGCTGCTGCTGCTGCTGCTGCTGCAGTACCTGGTGCAGGTGCAGCGCGAGAGCAGCAGCAAACTTGCGGCCTTGGAAGAAAACCCCCGAGGGTTTAGGCAGATAGCGAATCCGAGTGACACGTCGCTGGGAGGATTCCCAGGCTTCCATGCTGCGCATTACAAACCCTAAACCCTAAACCCTAAATTCTCGCTGGCGCTCAGTATGGCGCGATGCAACAGCGCATCCAATCCTGTCTGTTGGTCTCCAGAACCCTAAAGGAAAAGATGGGGGTTTGCTCCTGACTCTCCGGCAAATTAGCTCTAGGGTTTAGGGATTAGGGTTTAGGGTTTAGGGTTTACTCGACGGGGTCCATTGACTGCCAAGTGCGAGGCGGCGGCGGCGGTGGTTTAGGGGGCAGCAATCCAGCGCCCTGTGCCATGTGGAGCTCCTCCTTCAAACAAGAAAAAATTAGGGTTTAGGGTTTAGGGTTTAGGGTTTGGGGTTTAGGTGGCTGGGCATCGGACAAAACCCTGAAGCGTGTTACGTGCGCGAGACCAGCCTGTTCCCTTCCAGGTCTCTCCGTTCTTCGGGGTTTTGTTTTAGGGTTTAGGGTTTAGGGTTTAGGGTTTAGGGTTTAGGGTTTACTGCGGTCATGATGGCTGCTTTCGCAGAGAGCGGCGTCGCCTCAACTAAAGACAGAAAACCCT